GCGCCCACCGGGCCCGGCGGTTTCCAGGCTCCCCCCGGGGGGGCGGGGCCGCCGCCGCGGCGGAACCGGGGCTGGAGGGGGGCGGGGCTACGGGGAGCCTTGAAACGGGCGGAGGGCGCGGATTGGGTGGGCGGGGAGGGGGCGGGGCGCGGCTGTGTTTACCTCGCGCGGGGCGCTGGAAGCCACGCCCCCTCGCACCAGAATGGGCGTGGCTTTAGCGAGCCATGCCCATTTATGGTTAAGGGGCGTGGCCTGGTCGGGGCTGTCTTCGGCCGCTTTTCCGCGCTAAATATTGCGAAATTAATTTTGTTAAATTAGGAATAGAATCCTTTTCGCCCGGATTTATGAGCGGGAACCCCAAATTCCTTCTTTTTTATTGCATTTCCACCTAATTCACCTCAAATTCCTAACCCTAACCCCAAATTAATTTTTTTAATCATCCCATTTCCTCCTAATTAATTTCAAATTCCAAGCCCTAACCCCAATTCTTTCTTTTTCATCCCATTTCTAGCTAGTTCACCTCAAACCCTTAATCCAAATTCCTTCTTTTTAAATCGTGTTTCTCCTAATTCTCCTGAAATTCCCAACCCTCACCTCAATTCCTTCTTTTTTTCATCACATTTCCACCTAATTCACCTCAATTTCCCAACCCTAACCCAAATTCCTCCGGTTTCCACCCCCAATTCCTTCTTTTTCATCCCATTTCCGCCTAATTCCCCTAATTCGCCTCAAATTCCTAACCCTAATCCAAATTTCCCGTTTCCACCCCAAATTCCTTCTTTTTGATCAGATTTCCACCTAATTAAATTCAAATTCCCAACCCTAACCCAAATTCCTCCGGTTTCCACCCCCAATTCCTTCTTTTTCATCCCATTTCCGCCTAATTCCCCTCAAATCCCACCCGCTCCCCACAAATCCCCTTGGTTTCCCCAAAATTCCTATTTTCCCCTGAAGAAATCCCGCCTATTTCACCCCAAAGCTCCTCGTTTTTCACCCCAATTTCCTCTTTCTTCGCCCAAATTCCTCCGCTTTTCCACGTAGGATTTTTTTTTTTTTCCTTGGGTTTTGGGGTTATTTTAAAGGAAAATAAATAAAGGAGAATAAAGAGGAATCCCCGCCCAGTTCTGGGGAGGTTTTAATTACTTTTTAATTATGGAACGAAACTGCCAGAGCCAGTTCCGGGGATAACCGGGACAAACTGGGACAAACTGGGACAAACTGGGACAAACAAACTGGGAATTGGCCGCGGGGGCGTCCGGGCGGAGCGGCCAGGGGGAAACTGGGAGGGACTGGGAGGGACTGGGAGCGGCCAGCGGGCAAACTGGGGCGGACTGGGAGGGACTGGAGTGGGGGTGGACTGGAATGGGACAGGACTGGGAGCGGACTGGGACTGGACAGAACTGGACTGGGAGCGGACTGGGGTAGGACTGGGAGTGCTGGGAGCAAACTGGGAATGGACCGGGGAGGACTGGGACTGGACTGGGACCAGTCTGGGAACGGACTGGGAGTGCTGGGGCGGGAGCAGACTGGGAATGAACTGGGAAGGACTGGGAGTGAACTGGGACCAGACTGGGGGCGGATGGGATTGGACTGGGAGTGCTGGGCTGGGAGCAAACTGGGAGCAGACTGGGAGGGGACTGGGAGGGACTGGGAGGGACTGGGAGGGACTGGGAGCAGACTGGGAGGGACTGGGAGGGACTGGGAATGGACTGGGGCCGGACTGGCGGCACACTGGGACTGGACTGGAGCCGGACTGGAGCCGTACTGGGATCGGACTGGGACGGGACTGGGGTCGGACCGAAGCCCCGCCCCCGCCAACATCCGGGCACCTCGAGCCGCAGCCCCGCCCGCCTCCTCTGCACCGCCATTGGTCACTGGTGTGTGACGTCATTGTGGGCGTGGCTGGTGCGGGGCGCGCCGCCCTTTCCAGGGAGCCCCAAAATCCCCCCGTGACCCCAAATCCCCCAGTGCTGTGACCCCAATCCCAGTTTTGTGACCCCAAACCTGCCAGTGCCATGACCCCAAATCCCCCAGTGCCATGACCCCAAATCTCCCAGTGCCATGACCCCAGTGTCCCCCCAGTTCCATGATCCCAAACCCCCCACCCCAGACCCCCCCTCCCAAACGGGGCCGCTTTGGGTCCCCCCCAATCCATCCCAGTGAGCCCCAAAGGGACCCAGCCCCTCCCTGGAGCTGTGCCCCGTGTGTGGGGGATGGGAACTGGGAATCCATGGAATTCCTGGGAAAAGGGGAAATTCCTTCGCAGCCAAAGTTTTATTTCTAAAACAATCTTTATTTTGAAATTTATTTATTTTGAATCAGAAAGCCGCAGAGAAGGAAATTCCCGGCGGAAATCCCGCTGCGTTTGTCGGGAACTGCTGCCCTGGGACCCCTCTGAGGGGCGATTTGGGGTCCTGGGAAACCCCAGAACTGCTGGGAACGCCTCTGGCCCCAAAGCCGGGCCCAAGGCCAGAGCCTGCAGCAAACCCGGCTTTTACTGGAAATTAAACCTGGCTTTTATCGGGAATTAAACCTGGCTTTTATCCGGAATGAAACCCAGCTTTTATTGGAAATTAAACCTGGCTTTTATCGGGAATTAAACCTGGGCTTTCGTTGGGAATTAAAACTGGCTTTTATCGGGAATTAAACCTGGCTTTCCTTGGGAATTAAAACTGGCATTTATCAGAAATTCCTGAATGGAACATTCCTGATTTAGGGAGAACCCCAAAGAGCAAAGTCCTGGCTTTTATCAGGAATTAAACCTGGCTTTTATCAGGAATGAAACCCAGCTTTTATTGGAAATTAAACCTGGCTTTTATCGGGAATTAAACCTGGCTTTTATCAGGAATGAAACCCAGCTTTTATTGGAAATTAAACCTGGCTTTTATCGGGAATTAAACCTGGCTTTTATCAGGAATTAAAACTGGTTTTTATCGGAAATTAAACCTTGCTTTTAGCAGGAATTGAACCTGGCTTTCCTTGGGAATTAAACCTGGCTTTTAGCAGGAATTGAACCTGGCTTTCCTTGGGAATTAAACCTGGCTTTTAGCAGGAATTGAACCTGGCTTTCCTTGGGAATTAAACCTGGCTTTTAGCAGGAATTCCAACTGGAACATTCCTGAATTAGGGAAAACCCCAAAGAGCAAAGTCCTGGTTTTTATCAGGAATTGAACCTGGCTTTTATCGGGAATTAAAACTGGCTTTTATCAGGAATTAAACCTGGCTTTTATCGGGAATTAAACCTGGCTTTCCTTGGGAATTAAACCTGGCTTTCCTTGGGAATTCCTGAATGGAACATTCCCGATTTAGGGAAAACCCCCAGGAGCAAAGTCCTGCTGGAGTGACCTGAGTGAAAATCTGGGAAATCCCAACTGGGACATTCCAGAATTAGGGACAACCCCGAGGAGCCAAGTCCGGAGTGGGAAGTGTCCCCAAGGCTGGCCCCAGGGGTGACTTGGGTGTCCCCAAGGCTGTCCTGGTGTCCCCAAGGCTGTCCTGGTGTCCCCAGGGCTGGCCCCAGGGGTGACTTGGGTGTCCCCAGGGCTGTCCCGGTGTCCCCAAGGCTGTCCTGGTGTCCCCAAGCCTGTCCCCAAGGCTGTCTGGGTGTCCCCAGGGCTGTCCCGGTGCCCCCAGGGCTGTCCTGGTGTCCCCAGGGCTGTCCCCAGGGCTGTCCCGGTGTCCCCAAGGCTGTCCTGGTGTCCCCGGGGTCCGGCGGCTCCTCCCGGTCCCGCTGTCTCCGTTCCTGCCGCACTCCCGGGGCTCGCGGTCCCGGGGGTCCCGGGGGTCCCGGGGGTCCCGCGCCGGGGTCACCTGGGGACGGACGGGTCGGAGTCCACGCGGCCGAGGAGGAAGAGCTCGGGGCGGGCGGCGAAGCCCAGGCGGCCCTGGGGGATGAAGGCAACAATTAGTGCCGGGGAGTTAATTAATTAGTGCCGGGTTCAAGGAAGCCAGAGAGAGCCTAAGGAAGCACAAGTTGGTTTAAGGAAGCCTGAGCTCAGCCCGGTTTAACAAAGCCACACTTGGATGAAGCCCGAACTGAGCCTGGTTTAACAAAGACCAAGTTGAGACGGGTTTAATGGGACTCGAATTGAGCTTGGCTTAACAAAGCCCAAGCTGAGACGGGTTTAATGAAGCTCGATTTGAGTCTGGTTTAACAAAGACCAAGTTGAGCCTGGTTTAACAAAGCCCAAGTTGAGTCTGGTTCAACAAAGCCCAAGTTGAGACGGGTTTAACAAAGCCCAAGTTGAGACGGGTTTAATGAAGCCTGAACTAAGCCTGGTTTAACAAAACCCAAGTTGAGATGGGTTTAATGGGACTCTAATTGAGTCTGGTTTAACAAAGACCAAGTTGAGATGGGTTTAACAAAGCCCGAACTGAGCCTGGTTTAACAAAGCCCAAGTTGAGTCTGGTTTAACAAAGACCAAGTTGAGACGAGTTTAACAAAGCCCAAATTGAGACGGGTTTAATGAAGCCTGAACTAAGCCTGGTTTAACAAAACCCAAGTTGAGATGGGTTTAATGGGACTCTAATTGAGTCTGGTTTAACAAAGACCAAGTTGAGATGGGTTTAACAAAGCCCGAACTGAGCCTGGTTTAACAAAGCCCAAGTTGAGATGAAGCTCAACTTGAGTCTGGTTTAACAAAGCCTGAATTAAGCCTGGTTTAACAAAGCCCAAGTTGAGTCTGGTTTAACAAAGACCAAGTTAAGACGGGTTTAATGAAGCCCGAACTGAGTCTGGTTTAACAAAGCCCAAGCTGAGATGGGTTTAATGAAGCTCGAATTGAGTCTGGTTTAACAAAGCCTGAGTTAAGCCTGGTTTAACAAAGCCCAAGTTGAGTCTGGTTTAACCAAGCCCAAGTTGAGACGGGTTTAATGAAGCTCGAATTGAGTCTGGTTTAACGAAGCTCGAATTGAGTCTGGTTTAACAAAGCCTGACCTGAGCCTGGTTTAATGCAGAGATGTTGAGCCCAGTTTAACGAGCCGGAGCAGGGCAGGCTTTAAATGAAACCGGAGCTGATCCCGGGTTAAGGAAGCCCCGGTTAGGCCCGGTTTAACCAAGCCCGGGCGGTTCCGAGGCCGCCCAGGGACCTGCGCCCATTAATTAGCACTGAGCGGGAGCGGCGCTAATTGGGAGCGGATCCCGCCGTTAATTGGGGCAGATCGCGGCCCAGCCCCTCCCTCTGCTGCCCCAATTAACCGCGCCAGCTTAATTAACCTCGGGGCGTGGCTGAGCCTTAATTAGCAGTGAGTGCACAAGGTAACCTAAGCGGGACTGAGGCGGAGGTGAGGCTCTGCAGGGGGAAAAGGAATAAAAAAGAGGCAAAAAAGGGAATTTTGGGTTTTTGGGTGGGTCTGGCCTGGGCAGGGCAGGACGGGGGGGCCGAGCCCCGACCTCACAGGAATTCCCACGGGAAGGGGGGGCTGGGGGCCAATTCCGGGGACAGGACGTGCCCCAGCTCAGCCCGATCCCATTCTGAATTTTCCCTTTTTTTCCTGTTTTTATGTTCCCTGCATTCTCTGCAGGTGGATTTGTGGCTCTCTATTATTGGCCTGAGTTATTGTGTTAATGTTGTTAATTGTCATTTTCCCAGTGGTTTTCCACGACCTTTCCCTGGGTAGAAAAAAAAATTGCAGAGCTCCAAGGCCCAGGAAGAGCTCCTGGAGATTCCATGGGCAGAGCTCAGCCAGAGCCGAGCCGGGGCTGCACAGGAGGGGAGAGAATTCCATCAGCACCTCTAATTGTGCTTTTATGAATTATTTATTAAAAACCTCCTCGCCCCTGTGGGGGTGGGGGTGTTGTGGCCATTTTTCCATAACTGCCCCGAAAGCCTTGAGGTAAAATCCACTTTTTTATTTGAATTCTGAACTCGAGTTTCATTCCCAGGTTGGGAAAATGGGAACGGCCCCGGAGCGTGGGGGGCTCTATCCCAGCCAGCACCAGCCCCAAAAAATGACCCAGGAAGCCGAGTTGGAAAAGTCTCCACGTTTTTAATGGCAAAGGGGGTTTGTACAACCAGGACCAAAGGGGGAAAAAACCCCAAAACCCAAATGATGCAGCACGGAGCAGAGCTGACCCCTCCCAAGCCAAAATTCCCAGCCCAGGGTGGGGTGGAGCAGAATTCCAACCCCAAATCCACCTGTGGTGCAGCCCACAAAGCCCACAGCTCGTGGGATGTGACACCCTGCAGATGTCACACACAGGGTTAAATCCTGCTGGAATTTGGGATAACAACGGGGGAAAAAATGAGAATCCTTGTGGCCAGGTTTGGAAAAGGGTGGGAAGAGGGATCTGATCCTGCCCCAGATTAAAGGGGATGAAATTTCCTGCTGGGCTCTGGGTGTTGTCTCCTCATCCCTGGGATGTCCTGGGTGTTGTCACCTCACCCCTGGGATGTCCTGGGTGTTGTCACCTCACCCCTGGGATGTCCTGGGCCCCAGGGAATGAGCCCAGGCCTGGGGGGTGGATAAAACCCCACAGGGGCTCCAGGGCTGGCACAGGACACTGGGGCTGCTCATGGGAGGGAAGAATTTCCTGCTGGGCTCTGGGTGTTGTCTCCTCATCCCTGGGCCCCAGATTAAAGGGGATGAAATTTCCTGCTGGGCTCTGGGTGTTGTCTCCTCATCCCTGGGATGTCCTGGGTGTTGTCACCTCACCCCTGGGATGTCCTGGGTGTTGTCACCTCACCCCTGGGATGTCCTGGGCCCCAGGGAATGAGCCCAGGCCTGGGGGGTGGATAAAACCCCACAGGGGCTCCAGGGCTGGCACAGGACACTGGGGCTGCTCATGGGAGGGAAGAAATGCCCCAGGGCCGATCCCAAACGTTCCCCAGAGCTGGATTCTGCAGGGATTTTATTTCAGAGAGGAATTCCCTGCCCAGAACTGGGAGAGCAGGGAAACGCCAGTGGGCACTGAGGGATAAACCCATTTTATTATCCCAAATAAACCAGGGATGCACTCAGGAATCCCAAATAAACCAGGGATGCACTCAGGAATCCCAAATAAAGCAGGGATGGATCCAGGAATCCCAAATAAAGCAGACTAGGATGGATCCAGGAATCCCAAATAAAGCAGGGATGGATCCAGGAATCCCAAATAAAGGAGGACTGGGATGCACTAATTTTATTATCCCAAATAAACCAGGGATGGAGCCAAGAATCCCAAACAAACCAGGACTGGGATGGAGCCAGGAATCCCAAATAAAGGAGGACTGGGATGGACTAATTTTATTATCCCAAATAAACTTGGGATGGAGCCAAGAATCCCAAATAAAACAAGACTGGGATGGAGCCAGGAATCCCAAATAAAGCAGGACTGGGATGGACCCATTTTATTATCCCATATAAACCAAGGATGCACTCAGGAATCCCAAATAAACCAGGACTGGGATGGAGCCAAGAATCTTAAATAAACCAGGACTGGGATGGAGCCAGGCATCCCAAATAAAGCAGGACTGGGATGGACTCCAGAATCCCAAATAAACCTGGGATGGAGCCAGGAATCCCAAATAAAGCAGGACTGGGATGGACCCATTTTATCATCCCAAATAAACCAGGGATGGACCCATTTTGTTATCACAAATAAAGCAGGATTGGGATGCACCCATTTTATTATCCCAAATAAACCAGACTAGGATGGATCCAGGAATCCCAAGTAAACCAGGATTGGGATTGATCCAGGAATCCCAAATAAAGCAGGCCTGGGATGGATTCATTTTGTTATCCCAAATAAAGCAGGACTGGGATGCACCCATTTTATTGTCCCAAATGAAGCAGGGCTGGGCTGGAATCCTCTGCCTTGGCCCCAGGAGAGGTTTGGGGCCCCATCCTGCAGCTCCACGAAGCACTTTGGGATCTAAACCCACGGAGCTGTGCCTCTGCTGCAGCTCCAGCTGGACACAGAAGGGAATTTCCCCTAAACCACCCAAATCTGAGCTCCCCACGCCCAGGTTCCATGATTCAGAGATCCAAGAGGCAGGATGGGCCCAAAACTGCCCTGGGAGATCCAAGGGCTGCTCTGTTCCCTCCATCCCACCCCACTCCCAGCCCACACTCCTGGCCAAGCTTTCCCCAAACTCATTGAATTTCATCCAGGACAAGAGGGAGCAGCAGAGGAACCCCTGGAAAAGGCCCTTGGAGCCTCCACAGCCTGATTTTGAGTTATTTTTGAGAACTCCAAGAGTATTTCCATGGATCACAGGGAATCAAGTCATAAAATGATAAATAACCACGAACTCGTTTCGTTTGCTGACCCCACAATCCCACACGGGGCCACTAAGAGCCAGTAGTGATCACAGAATAAAAGAATATTAATGCTCAGCTTTCCCATGGGAATGGGAAGTGTTTTCCAGTGAGAAACACCCAGCCTGCCCAGGCTGGGCACACCAGCTGTAGTGCCACCCCATGCCAGCCACAGCAGCGTCCCCAAATGCCACCAAAAGGGGATTTGGGGGTTTTTTAGCTTATTCAGTCCAGGTCAGTGCCAGAGCAGCGTTCCTGGAGGTCAGTGTTTGTGCCACAGGGGGGGCAAAGGCTCTGGGAGGAGGAGTTTGGGATTTCAAGGAGAATGGGGGGGGACAGGCTGCTCCTGTGTCACCCCCAGGGCAGGGACAGGCTGCTCCTGTGTCACCCTCAGGGGGGGTCAGGCTCTTCTATGTCATCCCCAGGTGTGGCACCCATCTAGGGGGGGCTCAGGCTGCTCCTGTGTCCCCCCAGGTGTGGCTCAGGCCGTTCCTGTCCCCACAGGGGGGTCAGGTTGCTCCTGTGTCCCCCCTCAAGGTGTGGCACCCATCCAGGGGGGCTCAGGCTGCTCCTGTCCCCACAGGAGGGGGTCAGGCTCTTCTATGGCACCCCCAGATGTGGCACCCATCCAGGTGTGGCTCAGGCTGTCCTGTTCCCCCCAGGTGTGGCTCAGGCCGTTCCTGTCCCCACAGGGGGGTCAGGTTGCTCCTGTGTCCCCCCTCAAGGTGTGGCACCCATCCAGGGGGGCTCAGGCTGCTCCTGTCCCCACAGGAGGGGGTCAGGCTCTTCTATGGCACCCCCAGGTGTGGCACCCATCCAGGTGTGACTCAGGCTGTCCTGTCCCCCCCCAGGTGTGGCTCAGGCTGTCCTGTCCCCCCCAGGTGTGCCTCAGGCCGTTCCTGTCCCCCCCCAGGTGTGGCTCAGGCCGCCCCCCCCAGGAGGATTTTGGGGTTCAGCAGAGCCGGGCCAGCCCCGGGGGCTGCGGGTGTTCCGTGTCCTGCCGGGGGTGTCCCCACGGCGCTGTCCGTGTCCCCAGGGTGGCTCTGGGGGTCCGGGCCCCCCCCCAGGCTATTTGGGGGGGTGGGAGGGCGGCTGCTCCAGGTGCAGGGTCCGGGTGACGCTTACCGTGCTCCCGCAGGCCAGGAAGGAGGCGCCCAGGGCCACCAGGCACAGCCACGTCTGCGGGGACAGCAGGGGACAGTCAGGGGGGCACAACGCCAGGAAAACCCTGGCCAGCCCAGAGAGAGCCCAGAGACAGGATCAGAACAATTAGCAGCTCGATCTTGGCAGTTCACAAGGAGCTGTCCCTGCTTGAGAGGGGAGAGAAGGTTCCGGAAGGCCAGGCAGGTCTCGCTCCACTCTGGGGTTCCTGTTGTTGTCTGGGGTTGGATTTCTGAATTAGTGGTCTCTGGGTCTGCACTGAAGGCACTTGAGGTGGCAGTTTGTGTTTGGGATCGGGTGTTTTTGTCTCTTAAATTGTTATTTTTTGTTAATTACTTCAGTAAAACAGTCTCACTGCTGTGAGCTCAGCAGCTCTTCATTAGAAGGCACAAAATGCCCAACAATCTCTTGGTACAAGGTCTTGTAAGACTAAAGTATCCAATTAAGAGCTGACACCTGGATTATTTTCCCTTTTAACCCAATAACTGATCCCAGAGAGCCCCAGTGAGGACTTTTCTGCCCAATTACAAAATGCCACCCAGACCCATGAAGAAGAAACCCAGGACCTGTGTCCTCCATCCTGCTTCCATCCACAGCATACTAAAAATCCCAAAACCTCAATTTCTCACCTAAATTATACACCCACAGCACTCTCTATAATCTATTTCACACTTTGGTGGGTTCCAGTCTAGCCTGAAGTGTAGGAAACTTTCTCCATGGCTGAGGGTCAAAGTCAGGGCTCCCAGAGCAGAGAAATATCCCCAGAGCTCTGGGATTCCACAGCCCACCATTGTTTCTGTAAGAACGGTGCATTTCTAACAATAAAGTGCTTTTCATGCCTCCTGATGGAGTCTCTGTGTCACCTTTGTCTGTCCTGGTCCCCCTGGGGTGACAGGTCAGGCTGGGACAGGGACAGGGCTGTCACCATGGGATGGGAGGGGCAGGGAAGCCCCTGGGGCCCCAGGGCACTGCTGGCCCTGTCCCCAAGTGCCACACGCAGTGGCTGCAGGGATGTGCCCCCTGTTGACAGAGTGACCAAATTCTCCTTTGTCTCCCCAAAAAGGAAAAAAGCCCAGAAGTTTCTTTCCTCAATTAGCAAAGAAGGACCTGAGGGACTTCACCTCACACTTAAGGATTGCACAGGAGCCAAAAAGTCCCACTGAGCAATTCACTAGAAAAAGGAGAGAACAAAGGAACTAATTGCTTTTGTGGGGTGTTTTACCAGGAGCAAGAACCTCTTCCACTTAACTCAGGTTTGCTCTATAAAGAGCTTTGTTATTTTGCCTTTTATCATATTTTTTTATTTCCAACACCACCACAGAAGCCACCCTGCTGATTTTATGCCACCTGAGGTGGCTGAGCTATCTTGGGCGTGAAATAAATCTCCAAGAGCTTGAGACTGGCTCGAGGAGACCCTTTTATCAGGTGGCTTTCAGTGGATGGTGTGGCCACAGAGAGAGGCACAACGTCCCCAGGCATTTTCCTGAGATCAGAGGAGAGAATGGGAAACAATTCTTATCTCCACTTGCTGTGCACATGTGGAATGTGCTGTGGAGATTGTTTACCAAAAGGTGATTTCTTAATTACACACTGATGCTGGTGTTTGGATTGACTGACCAATTAGTTCAAAGCTGTATCTGTAAGGGTCAGGAGTTTCTAATATTATTATATCATATCATATTATATCATATTATATCATATCAAGGATAAATGATATTATATTATACTATATTATATTATATTATATTATATTATATTATATTACATTACATTATATTACATTATATTGGAATTGATCAGCTTTCTACAATCATACTGATTATTACAAAATTACTATTCTTATTATTTTTATAATAATTATTACCCCATCAAATCCAGCTTACAGTGACAGATGGGGACCCAGCCCTGCCCTGGGGCTGTCAGGGTTGGGGTGCCCTTTCCAGGAGGGAATTGTCCCCAGTATCCAACCCGACCCTCCCCTCGGGGCTGTGTCCCTGCCCCTGTCCCCTGGGAGCAGAGCCTGAGCCCTCCTGGCTGTGCCCTCCTGTGGGGAGCCACAAGGTCCCTGCTGAGCCTCCTCTCCCCCACGCTGAGCCCCTCCCAGCTCCTCCAGTCCCTTCCCAGTTCCCCCAGTCCCTTCCCAGTCCCTTCCCAGTTCCTCTCCTCTCCCTGGATGTGCCTCAGCCCCTCAAAGTTCTGCACTCAGGACCCCAAACCCGAGCCTGGGTGGGGCAAAGCCCAGTGCTGGCCCCACAGAGGGATCCATGGGATCCTTTGGGACCCTCTGGGACCCTTTGGGATCAGTGGGACCCTCCGGGACCCTCTGGGATCCATGGGATAATTATAATATAATATAATATAATATAATATAATATAATATAATATAATAATATTATGTGCCCAAGGAGCTGAGGGCAAAGGCTCCGTGCCCAGGGCAGGGTGGGGAGGAGGAGGGGACAGTCCCAAGGGTCACACAGAGGTGACACAGAACTGAGGGGACAGTCCCAAGGGTGACACGGGACAGTCCCAAGGGTCACACAGAGGTGACACAGAACTGAGGGGACAGTCCCGAGGGGTGGGATCTGCCAGGGCCAGCCCGGCTCACCCCAGCAGGGGCAGGTGAGGGGGTCCTGCCCCTCTGCCCGCCCAGGTGAGCCCCACCTGGAGCAGGGCAGTGCCAGGTCAGGGAGCTGCCCCAGAGCAGGGAGGGATTTTGGGAAACCTCCCTGGCACAGACTGCCCAGTGACGCCCAGCCCTGGCAGCCTCCATGCCAGGCTGGACAGGGCTGGAGCCACCTGGCCAGGTGAGAGCTGCCCCTCCTGTGGCACTGCCACCTCTGCAAAAATCCCTTCGCTCAGATTTTCTCCTGGGAAGCTGAGGAGCCCCAGAGAGAAGGAAAACAATTCTTATCTCATGTGCTTCTCCTGTGTTTTGCTCATGTGTGTGGGGATCGTTTCCCCACATGACTGTTTCATGTGGATCCATGTGCATCCAGTCATGGATCCAATGATTGTTTCATGGATTCCCACATGACTGTTTCATGTGGATCCATGTGCATCCCACCATGAATCCAATGACTGTTTCATGGATTCCCACATGACTGTTTCATGTGGATCCATGTGCATCCCACCATGAATCCAATGATTTTTCATGGATTCCCACATGACTGTTTCATGTGGATCCATGTGCATCCCACCATGAATCCAATGATTTTTCACTGCATTCTGGTGTGAATTTTTTGACTCTTTGGCCAATCGGGGCCAAGCTGTGTCGGGACTGGAAAGAGTCACGAGTTTTAATTATTCTCTTTTTTAGCATTTGGTGTCTTTTCTGTATTCTTTAGTATAGTTAGTACAGTAGAATATATGTATTTAGTATAGTACAGTCCAGTGTATATATAATTCAGGATATTATATAGATTATATTATTAATATATATTATATTATAATTATATTATTATAATAATATTTAATTATATTACTATTATATTATAATTATACTGTATTAGTATTATATCATAATATAGAATAATATATTATTATATTAATATTAATATATTAAGATATCATATTGTTTATATATTATTAATATATTATTAATACATATCATATTATTAATATACATTATAATATATATTTAGTATAGTACAGTATATCTATATATAGTGTGTATATATATATATAGTGTGTGTATATCCAGAGAGAGCCC